CTTAAATTAAAAGTAATAATAAAAAAAAACACAGATGAACATCGATTTTTGTGCATCACGCATGTTGAATGCATCACAAGTTCAAATTACCGATATTAACAAGTTAGAATATAAAATAAGAGCCTCTTATCTTTTCAATTTGCTAAGATATTGTTCATGTAATAAATCAAACACAGTGGCACCCCACCCACATCTTTCCATTTTTGGAAATGTTTTTTTTTTTTTATATATACACTCACTTCTTTATATGACATAAAAAACAATTGGAAGCTCAGAATGTCCCCCTAGTGGTTTTCTCAGCCATTTTAATGGTTAATTTAGGTTTATTTAAATTTTTTTTGGTGGTTACAAGGTGGTCAAATTAACTGATCCAGTTTTGAGATAGGGTAGAGAAAATAACAGATAAACTATAGTTTCACTGAAAAAACAATATTTGAAATGCATTTAGGAGGTTTTAGTGATTACAAAAAGGAGATTTTTGAGATTACAAAAAGTATTTTTAATTTTAACATGAAAATTATTTTGCACACGGACTATTCAAAACAAATACTCAATGTATTCATGGACAAAACTTTATTTTATTAAAAATACTTCACTAAGAAATATGTATTTTTGTATGTGAAAGACTTGTAATATTAACTGAAAGACTGCCAAATTTCGTAAAGATACACCCAATACATTGAGAGTTACAAGTATTAAATTTATAATTTACAAAAGGTCACTTGACTCAGTCAAATTGACTGACCCCATAGTAAGAGAGTTAAAAGAAAATTATCTCTATAGGTGTGAGGGATAAGTTAGCAAATTGGATATAGAAATGGCTGGAAAGCAGAAGGTTGTTACAAATAGAGTTCAGTCAAACTGGATTAATGTCACAAGTGAAGTAAATCAAGGATCAGAGTTAGGACTTTTGCTCTTTTTCATTTATATCAATGAAATGGATAAATGAATGAATGGTTGATGAATTACTTAAGTTTGCTGATGATATTAAATTTTTCGTTGTTGCTGCTGTTCAAAATGATTGAGATTACTTGGAGAGTTTGGTGAATAAATGGACATGACTTTTAATAAACAAGATGATTAATGTAAGTGGTTACAATAATTCAAATTATAATTACAATTTTGATAGGAATAACCTCATCAGGTTTATAGAAGAAAACAATGCCATTCAAGCAATGTGCTGTTGCTAGTGGTAGGACAAAAAGGATTTCCGGTCGTGTCTACAAAAATACTGAATACAACTCTAAAGAAATTATACTTTTTATTGTATAAATACATCACTAGTTAGGGCACATTAGGAGTATTGTGTTAAGTCTTGGGCTCCTTATCTTAGGAAGGATATTGAACTGTTGGAAAGGGTTCAAAGGAGTGCTACTAGGATACCTAGGATGAAAAAGTTGTCCTATAGGGACATGTTTAAATCTCTGAAATTTTCTCTTTTAAAAAAAAGGAGAGCTAGAAGGGATTTGATTAAAGTATTTAAGATTTTCAAAGGAATTGATTGTTGAAGATTCATCATTTTTCCAACTTAATGGTGAGAATGGTAGGACTACACTCACAAATATATATTTTGCCAGGGTAGAAGTTATCTGCCCAGTTTTATTTTTCTAAGACAGTGATTGGCTTTTGGAATGGGTTGCCTTCAGATGTGCTGGATTCAGTAAATATAAGGGAATGTTTTACAAATATTTGAATGATAAGAGCTGGCTTTTGGTTGTTGTCCCCCACACCCAAGTTTAGTTTGATGGAAAGGACAGCCTAAAATGGACCAACAGTTCCTTTGACGTCCTTAAATTTTATCCTATAGTGTCTCTGGATAAAGTAAGCATGGCATTTCTTTGTATATTAACAGTGAGAAAAACCTCACTTGCAGTATAACTAAATTTTCAGAATTAGAGTTGAAAAGAAGGAAGATTTTTTTTGCTACATTTGTATGTTGACTACTGACCTCATCAAAACAGATCTATTTTAGGGCTAAGAATATCTATATTATGTGAAGTGTGAAAAAAAAAAGGCCTAAGGATTAGTACATTTTGGGATTACAGACTTTGATATAATTTAATTTAAATGAAGAAAGAATTGTTATAAAATTTCCAATGAAACTGATGTATTTTGAAAAATTAATCAAGGTTGTGAAAAATCCCTACCATGGCAGCAATTAAATTTATTAAATACTGAAAAAAAAAGAAAGAGATAAACCAAGTTACCTTTAAGGTCTCCTACTCCATCACCATTGGAGTCTTTGAAAGACTTCACATACACCTGATAGATACTACTTTTCTGCCACCATTCCCGTTGAGGAGGAGGAGGACAGCGTGGAGCCAAAACAATGATGATAACTGCTCCAATCAACATAGCCACCCAAAGGACCCAGAAAAGAATAAATAGCAGCATTCGAAGACGAATCCAAAATGGATCATTGGCATACTTCATCAGTTCTTCTTTACCCAACCCAACAAAATTCTGGACATTTTCTATGTCAACCTTGGCTTCACCATTCTCATCAGCATGACCCTTCTCTGGACTAAATTTGACTTTAGTAGGGTCATCAGAAGTTAAACGTTCCTTAACAGCAGCTTCTTCATCAAGTTCAGGCTCAACATAAGGACCAGGTTGATCCTTAATTTCAACTTCACTTTCTTCCCTTGCAGCTCCCTTGTAATTTTCATTCTCCATGGTTGGCTACTAGAAAATCTGAAAAATTATAATAATAATAACAACAGTCTTCAAAACACATGCAAGAACATTTTCATTGGCAATTTTTAATGTAAAAACACTTAAATTCTGGTATTTTTTTCAGATTTAAAATAGTAATTGAACTTAAACAGCCATTTTTAACTTGATACAATTTCTCCCCTCCCTTTTAGTGGCTTTTATATGTTCATTATTCAGGGTGGGAAATAACGACCCACCACCACCATCATCAACAAGAACAATTGCTTCTCAAAGTGTGAATCATTTAAACCTTTACTACAGAGGGTAGAAAACAGTGACTCATCCAATAAGTGAAAATAAAAGTACAAGCAAAACAACCCCTTCTTCATAACTAAGATGAACTTGCATAATTATTTTAACTATACAAAGATTCAAAATGTTCATAATTATTACCAGTATATGTATGTCACATTACAGTCCTTACAAAACTGAGTTACAATACACTAGAGAGTTATTAGAGTTCTTAATATCTTTACTAGGAGAGGTTGCTATGCCACAACCTGTACATATACACATGTAAAGTAATTATCAAACAGTTAATGAATAAGAGATCTGTTGAGTAATCCCAGCCACTTCAAAAAAAAAACTTTCTCAGAATTCTTAGAAACATCTTTTCATAGCATACATAGTGAACTTATCCAGACTACAGATTAAATTTCAATAAACTCTGACACATAATCACAACAATTTTCAATTTCCTTTATTTTTCATTCCTTGTTTTAATACACATACAAACATAGGAATTAAATTAAAGTTACCACACACTTACCAGGAATTAAAGTAAGGAATTTGAATGTAGGACACTGATACAAGGTAATTACTACATCGGAGCAAAACATTCAATATTACATAAAATGTATTATGTTTACTATACCATCAGTAAAATTTCTTACTAGAAAATGATGAAAAAAAATAACTAGTTGTAAAAAAGATCTACAAACCACATCTAAGAGTAAAACTACACTGAGGCTAACGCTTGAACAAGGACCCTTACAAAGGAAAATTTCACTCCAGACTTAACCAAAAATGTGTAGTATTACATATTTCAAATACAATTGAATTTATCAAATGTGATACTATGTAAATAATTAAAGGAATATTCTACAGATTTTGAGACTTAAAACTCCATCTACAAAAATCAACACATTTTCTTACTTGTGCAGTCACCCAAAAAAGTTTACATGTTCATTAATTTGGATATTTACAAGTAAATAACAAGGTATTATATAGGTATGATGCAAATGACATCCCTTCTATCTTGTTTGCATTCTTTTTGAAGGATTGATATTAGTCATCCCTACATTTACTTCCTTTTTTGAGAAGTTTTGTAATTTACTTTTTTTTTTATTGCAGTGTTTCAATAGCCATAACAAGGTTGTATTTATAACAGAGTTCTAACTACAATGAGGTTCCAACTGTAATATTTATAATTTATCTAATATTGGCTGTAATTCCTGTTTCACCCTGTACTTAATCCTTTTTAAATGAACACAAAATTTCTGTAAGAAAGTTAACTTCAAGGGGCAATGATAACCTCATAAATTTGGATATTTACAAGTAAATAACAAGCTATTATATAGGGATGATGCAAATGTCATCCCTTCTATCTTGTTTGCATTCTTTTTGAAGGATTGATATTAGCCATACCTACATTTACTTCCTTTTTTGAAAAGTT